GGGGGCGCCTGGCTGGCTCAGTTGGGGGAGCATGTGACTCTTCATCTTGGGGTCATGAGTTCAAGCCCCACATTGGGTGTAGAGATTACTTAAAAAGAAAATCTTTTAAAAAAGAGCAAGTGAAAAGACAACCGACAGAAAGGGGGAAAATACTTGCTAACTACTTATGTGATAAGGGTCTGGTATGAAAAATGTGTATAAATAACTCTTACTACTCAGTGACAAAAAGATAAGTAACCCATTTAAAAATAGGTAAAGGATCTGAATAGATATTTCTCCAAAGACGACATACAGTCAATAAGCACGTGAAAAGACACTCAACATCATTAGCCATCAAGGAAATGCAAACCAAAACTGCAATGAGATACCGCTTCATACCTCGTACCAGAATGGTTGTAATCAAGTAATCAGATAATAAACAAGTTTTGGCAAGGAAATGGAGAAATGGGAACCCTCATACACTGCTAGTGGGAATGTAAAATGGTGCAGCTGCTTTAGAAAATATTTTGGCAGTTTCTTAAAATGTTAAAATTAGAGTTACCATATGACCCAGCAGTTTTACTCCTAGGTATATACCCAAGAAAAACGAAAGCATATGCCCATATAAAAACTCCTACCCAAAAGTTCATAGCAGCATTCCTCAATAGCCAAAAGTGGCAACGACCCAAATGTCCATCAACTGACAAATAAATAAGCAAAATGTGGTATGTCCATACAATGCAGCAACTCAGGGGCGCCTGGGTGGCTCAGTCGGTGAAGCGTCTGCCTTCGGCTCAGGTCATGATCCCAGGGTCCTGGGATCGAGCCCCGTGTCAGGCTCCCTGCTCAGTGGGGAGTCTGCTCCTCCCTCCCTCTTGTGCTCTCTCTCTCTCTCTCTCTCTCTCTCTCTCTCGCTATCTCAAATAAATAAAATCTTAAAAAAAAACAATGCAGCAACTCAGACGACCCTTGAAAATGTTATGCTAAGTGAATGGAGACAGTTACTACTTTTAAGTAGTTGCTCAAAGTAGGTTAGGGGACGGAGATAAGCATTTTCTTAATGAAATAGAACAGGCTAGATTAGATTAGACTAGATCAGATCTTTATATCCCAGCTTAAGTGCCATTTCCTCAAGGAGTCTTCCCTAACTAGGTCAAATCCCCTCTCTCTTGGAACCTGTCCTTGATAGCACTAAGCACAGTTGGAAGTTTGTGTTTATTTGCATGATGATTAGATGGACGTTGGGATCCCAGGATGTGACTATAAATGCACTGCATCTCCAGCACTTAGCATGCAGTTGATGGCACATAGCAGGGTTATTTGTAAGTTATCTGTTCAAGGAAGGAAGGAGAGAAACTGGTTAGTGGGGGGTCAAGTTGTAGATGCAAAGAACAGAGTATCCTAGAAGGAAAGGAATAAAATGTGGGATGTAGATGAAGTCTCTAAAATAAAGGTCTCTAAGACATTGTTTTTCAAACTGGGGGTCCCAACACATTAGTGAATTGAGAAAATGATATACTAAGTTGTGGCCAGAATTTTTTAATGAAATGGAATAGGGTAGGATAGAAAATATCAGAGGTGTGCCTCAGTCACTCAGACTCTTGATTTCAGCTCTTTTCATGATCTCAGGGTCGTGAGATAGAGCCCAGCCTCATGCTGGGCATGGAGCCTGCTTAAGATTCTCTCTCCCCGAGGAAGAATGAAGGGGAGTAAGTCAGAGGGGGAGACGAACCAGGAGAGATGATGGACTCTGAAAAACAAACTGAGGTTTCTAGAGGGGAGGAGGGTAGGGGAATGGGTTAGCCTGGTGATGGGTATTAAAGAGGGCACATTCTGCATGGAGCACTGGGTGTTATGAACAAACAATGAATCATGGAACACTACACCAAAACAAATTATGTAATATATGGTGATTAACATAACAATAAAAAATTTAAAAAAAAAGATTCTCCCCCTCTCCCTCTGCCCCTCCTCCCACTCCCCACCCTCTCTCTCTAAAAGAAAAAGAAGAAAAAAGAAAATATCAGAGAATATAGCACATACCGAAATTTTCATGAAACTTTTGTTTCAACTATATATAGTTGTGTGATATATATATATACACACACATACATACGTACATACATGTACACATGTGTGTTTTATGTCATGATTCTCCTGTGTTTCAATTTTGAAAAATTGAGACACTCCTATACCATACCCTCTGGTTCAAACATTCATGACTATAATTCTTTTGTGAAGCACTGATCATTCTAGTAGATTGAGAATCACAGACTGTGAATATAAGACCTTTGGTGGTTTGTGCTAGTAATAGCATAGCATTTTTTAAAAGTCATTTGTTAAGTACAAATTAAACATTAATTTCTCAAGTATAAATTGAACATTAATGGAATTTCTCAAGTATAAACATTAATTTGAGTTTTTAAGAACAAGCTAAACAATGGTTGCAATCTCTATTAAGGTGTTATTCAGTCTCTAAAATGTATCAACAGTTATGATTATTTCTAATCATTTATGATTAGGAAACCCGGGAAGCCAGTGTTTAGTTATGTGGCAAAATGCATTGTCCTTAATTTAATTTCTTTTACCATGAGTTTTTCAAAATGGTTTAATTGTAAGATTTCTTTGAATGTGTGTAACACATCACATGTGCCTAACAGTTCTTTCATTTGTGGGAACTGTGTGTGGTGGGAAGCCCAGGGCCTTTGGAGCCATTCTAGTCTGCAAGGAATCCTGGCTTTGTCACTTACTGGCTGTTTGACATTTGACAAGTTGGTATATTGGGATCTTGGCTTCCTTGTCTATATAACGGAAATAATTTAGGTGGAAATTGCCTTTTGTGGAGGTCAAAATTGGTCAACTATCAGCAATTTCCTGAGGCTCAACCTAATGTTTATCTTACAGGGTGGTTGTGAGGATCAAACAAGACAATATTTGTTTAATACCTGGCACAGTGCCAATTAAATGTTAGTATTCCCTTTGACAAAGGTGAAAGATACTAGTGTCATTGTTTAATTATCTCTTTTAAATTGGCAGCATACACATTGGTCCATTGCACATTATATACTTATTTAATTTGTGTCTTGTTGCAGAAAGAATTTAAGTAGACTGGCACATAGTTGGTACTAGATAAATATTTGGATACTAGTGAGTTAATGTTTCTGTTGAGTTTTGTTTCCATGGTCATTTTTGAGCCATCATTTGGCACTTAACTAGAATTTGATGAAACATTAAAGAGCCCAGTTTGGACTGTTCTTTTCCAAGAGTTTGTAACAAAGTCTTGTTTTGTACTTCTATGATAGGTTGTTCTTTCCTGGGAGCCAGCCCCGTGCAATGGTGTCTGGTGAATGTTTAACAACAGACTCTCTGGAAGCAAGTGTGTGTGGGTGGTGGTGGACCTAAATGTAGCGTTGGCCAATTTCCATGCAAATACTTTGGTCACCTGTCACTGCTGATTTCAGGCTAGCAACTTGACATCACTGAATGCACAGTTGGGAAGAGGTGAGTGCAGTGAGCTCTTCTGAACTAGAATGAAGATGCTCCAGCCCCACCGCTGGCCCCAGGACACATGAAACCCAACCTCAGGGCAGTGCTCTGTAGACTGGAACTGAGCATGTGTGAGGATTTTTCATTTATACTTATGCTGCTAATAAAGAATTTTCACAATTACTGAGTATTTTTGAAAAACACAACTAAACAGAATAATTGCAAAAGCCAAACAAAACAATAATTACAATATTTATTGTTATCCTACATCTGTATGACACCTTCTCATTAAATTGTTTTTCTTGATGAGACAACATGCAGGGTTTTGCTCTTCTTTTTTCCTTTGGTTAACCTATTATTTTAATGACCAAAATACTAAGTAAGTATTCCCCCAAAAAAGTGCTGTGTAATTTTATTTATTGATTCTCTCTCTCTCTTTTTTTTTATTTATTGACTCTCTTGATGATCTAACTGGCTCAGATCTTGGGAAACTCCTTTTTTGGTGGGATTGTAAAATTCAACATCAATTTTTTTTTTTAATGTGAGGGAATGTGAATCACAGTTGGGGAAATTGCTGAGGCTATGGATCATTTTATGAGTGATGTGTTTTAAGATTTAAAAAAAATGCTTCTGCAAATAAAAGATGTTACTCCAAATCAGGGATACTAAATGGGAGGTGGTATTGTCCTGGGGTAGGGGTGGATTTAAGAAATCGATGGTGGCATTTTTGTTGTTGTTGTCAAAATGATTGGGGAGCACTGTTGACATTTAAAGGGTGGGGCCAGAGATGCTAGAACTGTAAATCATCCCATGTTCTGAATGACTTTCAAATATCCTGTGGAACTGTCATGTAGGTGAAAATAAACACCTAATTTTCCAAGACAGCAAGCACAGTATAAATTGAAGGATGCTTGCCTTTAGTTTTGCTTAGAATTTCCCCAAAGTTGTTCACCACGTTGGGAAGTCATAGCACCATGGGCAGTACTGAGTTCGCCGTTTGAGTTGCCGCTAAAGCCCACCTGTGTCAGTCTTGGCCTTGAGCCGTCCCTCACACTGATGCTGTGATAGTGTAAGCATTTGGCTACTTTATTTTGTCTTCTAGGATTGCCATGCCTGAGAGTTTACATTTTCAGGGGCATTTTATTATACATTACTTTCTTTTTATTTGTCCTTTCTGCCAGGGTATTATGTTGATTTTTTTCCTTTACAATTATACATAGTGATATGTGGTGTCCCCTATGGGTTTCATTTCAGGTTAGTACAGGAGGGCTACTGAATATATGTTATTAAAGGAATCATTGGGTCTGAGACCCAATAACTAATACAAATAACTCATCCTTAGCATAATATGACAATACCATTTCTGTTTCCAAGGTCCCCAGCATATATGCCTGCAGTCTGACATCAAAGAGTGGCGCATCATATTACCTTGGCTTCAAGACTATAAGTAGATTGTTGAACTCTGCCCCAGTCACTACCATTTGTGGCCCCAAATAACAATTTTATCCATTTTCTTTTTTTTCCTCCTTTTTTCCTTCCTGGCATCCGCTGAGCCATTGGCATTACTGCCACTGCCCACAGTGGCATCCACATCCCATCATGAGAAAAAGCCATCATCTGCTGAGTTGTATCCATTTTCTTGATCAGTTCTTACAGCATTGTTATTTTGTTCATCGGAACATCTGGTGCCCTCTTGGAAAAGGACTTACTCAAAAAGTCCGGTGGATCAAATATTATGACAGTTGTAAAATGAGGCGAACCTCTGTTTCCTTGAGTTTAGAATTTGCCCCTGAGGAATGTGGAGGCAGGCATGAGCAAGCACATCCGTTTTGTACAAGCACATGCAGTACATAGTGGCAATAAACACCCTGGTAAGAAAATAAGCACTTAGTGCTGTGCACACAGTAACAAAAAAATAAATATATACTTTGAGCTGGATTCAAATACGAACCTACAGGTCATGTTGTCAACACAGTGAAAAAGGAAAAAAAAATGCATCATCAGTGAATAAACCTGTAATGAGTATGCAGGGCTATCCTTTGGCAAGATTGCAGAGCACCTGGCGTTTCCAGCACTTGTATCTTCTTTCTCAGGTGCCCTTTCCCTCCCTCCCCTCAGCACCTCTCGGGCCAGCAAGCCTAAGGCTCTCAATGCACTTGGAATCGGCAAGCGTTTTTGAGCTACTTTTCTTTTTTTTAAGATTTTATTTATTTATTTGACAGAGAGAGTACACGCACAAGTCGGGGAGCGGCAGGCAGAGGGAGAGGGAGAAGCAGGCTTCCCGCTGAGCGGGGAGCCCGATGCGGGGACTCGATCCCAGGACCCCGGGATCATGACCTGAGCCGAAGGCAGACCCTTAATGAATGAGCCACCCAGGCGCCCCTTGAGCTACTTCTGCTGTATGTCAGGCAATGTGGGAGGCACGATCAAATCCATGTCTGATTTGATCAAACCCCCGTCAGAAGGAAGGGGGGCTGATACACGTTTTTTCTAACTAACTCCAGGGTTTTTTTTTTTAAGAGCAGACAGGCTTTTTCTGGAGATCAGAATAGTGGTTGTCCTGGACAGGCAGAAGTGACTGGGAAGGGGCATGAGGGTTTCTGGGGAGCTGGTAATATTGTGTTTCTTTTTTTTTTTTATTGTGGTGAAAAATACATATCATAAAATTTACCACCTTAACTGTTTCTAAGTGTGCAGTTCAGTAGTGTTAAGTGTATTCCCATTGTTGTAAAGTAGGTCTCCAGAACATTTTCATCTTGTAAAACTGAAACTCTCTACCCATTAAGCAATAACTCGTTTTTCCTGTCCCCAGCCCCTGGTAACACCATTCTACTTTCTATTTCTATAAATTTGACTACTTTAGATACTTTATACAGGTGGAATCATACAGTATTTACCCTTTGGTGACTGGTTTATTTCACACACTTTTGATGTCCTTCAAGTTTCATCCATATTGTAGCATGTGACAAGATTTCCCTCCTAATGTTGTATTTCTTGATCTGGATGCTAGTTACCTGAGTATGTTCACTTTGGGAAAATTCATTCAGCTGTGCATTTATTAACTGGACATACTTCTATATGCATGTTCTACTTCCAAAGAGGACTTTACTTTAAAAAATAGATGGAGATAAAATTTAAAAATCATTACTGCTATTTCTACTAAGCTATTAGTAACTTGTGTTAATGTTTCCCAGAGGTGTTTTAGAAGTACCAGTTAGAGAAGGCAATGCTTAACTCAAAGGGGTACTTGCTGAAGGCAGAACTTCAGAAGAGGTGGCTTGGGGCACCTGGGTGGCTCAGTCGGTGAAGCATCTACCTTCTGCTCAGGTCATGATCCCAGGGTCCTGGGATTGAGAGCCCCGTGTCGGGCTCCCCACTCAGTGGGAAGTCTGCTTCTCCCTCTGCCCCCACCAGCTGGTGCTCTCTCTCTTTCTCTCAAATAAATAAATAAAATCCTTTAAAAAAAAAAAAAAAGAAGAGAGGGCGCCTGGGTGGCTCAGTTGGTTAAGCCACTGCCTTCGGCTCAGGTCATGATCCTGGAGTCCCGGGATCGAGTCCCGCATCGGGCTCCCTGCTCGGCGGGGACTCTGCTTCTCCCTCTGACCCTCTTCCCTCTCGTGCTCTCTATCTCTCATTCTCTCTCTCTCAAATAAATAAAAAATCTTTAAAAAAATAAATAAATAAATTTAAAAAAAGAAGAGAAAGGGTGCCTGGGGTGGCTCAGTCTTTAAGCGTCTGCCTTTCGCTCAGGTCATGATCCCAGGGTCCTGGGATCGAGCCCTCCATCAGGCTCCCTGCTCCGCGGGAAGCCTGCTTCTCCCTCTCCCACGCCCCCTGCTTGTGCTCGCTGTCTCTCTCTCTCTGTCTCTCTCTCTGTCAAATAAATAAAATCTTAAAAAAAAATAAAAAAATGAAAAAAGAAGAGATGGCTTCACACAGGCCCTATTCAAATTTTACCTGAAGTGTGGCTCTGAGCCCCTTTATACAGAAGCCTGGTACTGCCCATCACAATCCAAAATCACTAAAAATTAATACCCTGCCACCACCAAACAAGAGCAGAAGGTAAAGGGGGGAAAAAACTGTCCTTAAAGAGGAGAATGAAATTAGGAAGAAAGCCCACTGAAGAAAATTTTAGGAGAAAGAACAAAGAACCAACTGAGCCACCCAGGCGCCCTCTCTTCTTTTTTTTAAAAAAGAGTTTTGCTGATTGTTAGAAAAACGAAGAGCCAAACAGACAATCAACACAGGACACCCAGTGAAACTTGCATTTCAGATAATCAACAAATAGGTTTTTAAAGTAGAAATACGTTCCAAATAGTGCATAGGACATACTTGTACTAAAAACCTAGGTGTTGTTTATCTGAAATTCACCTTCCGCTGGGCGCCCTGTATTTTACCTGGAGAGCCTAGATACAAGGGAAGGAAGGAGGGAGACAAAATCATGGGGAACACAAAAATGTCTTTTCAAAGCAGGGAACCAGCTCAAAGCCAGATTCTCTGACAAGTACCTAGCACTGGATAATATTCCCTGTCCTAAATGAGGGAAAGAACTTTCCACTAAGAATTGGTTTGATTTTGCAATTAAGAAAAAATTAGACTTTTCTTGAATGTCTTGCTTAGGGCTCCAGAGTTTAATCCAAATCTTGTCACATTGGCTATTTCCCAGAGAGCTGAGTGACAGAATAGGATAACCTACAAGAATGGTGTGTGGGGCTGCAGGGAGGAAGGGCAAGGGACTTCCTCCGAACACCTAGTACCTGGTAGTGACTTATCTTGTCAGTTTTCATCTGAAGAAATTTTGATGTATATAAATAGGGGTTGCCATTAAAAGTAGTGCATCCCTACTGGTGGGGAAAAACAAATTCCTGAATGCTCCGCCCTCCCTATTCATCAAAGCAAAAGCATCCAAGATTCACTTAAGGTGAATGAAGGCATTTGTTCTGGAAGAGTTGGCCTTGTCACACAATTTCTGATTCACTTTGAAGCCCTGCAGCTAAACCCTTCTAATTCTGAGTCAATAGAAGGGATAATCAGGCTTGATCAATGAAAGTTCTCAGGCTCATTGTTTAAAAGAAATAATTTTTAAAATTGCAAGTATATAATAGGGATTAAATAATTAACAAGATGAGTCTAGGCTGGTTTTGCAAGGCCCATTTTAACGATTGGTTTTTAAATCAGAAGTATAGTTGCGTGCAGCTAAAAGCAAGTGTCCTCTAAATAGTTTGTTAGTAGACCTAGGTAAACTCTATGTTCTATGATCTTTTTACACCATTAATTGCTTAATAAGCTTTTCTTTCATAGAGTGTTTGAAGTAAACTTTGGCCTAGCTCAGGTCGAACGATCACAAAACTTTAAAACCATGAAGACTGAATTTATTACATGGAAGCTGTATCTGTGATTGTTATCAACTGGATATGTAGAATCTTGGTTGATACTTTTTATGGCTTTATGAAACTGTCAATAGCCCTGACCTGTATGTCCTTGGACAGTTTCCTTAGGTGTCTATACCTTAACTTCCTCATCTGTAAAATGAGGGAGGGGGTGGACGATGATCTCTAGCCTCCGAGCTCTAAAACATCATGACGAGATCACACTAAGGGTGGTGTCTATCTCAGGGAGTGCTAACTTAGCACAACTTACCTAGAGGTTTCCTTGGTAGGGATGGTTATTATTTTAATGAATAAAGGTAAGAAGAGTATAGAAAAAGTGTTTTCAGTTGCTTCTTGTCCCTTGGAAATCTTTCATGGGTGAAGAATCAGAACTTGGGGAAAAACCAGAACACCCATAAAGCAATAATGTCTAGAAGAGACCAAGGATTGAAGAACTGAGAAGCAGTTACTACAGGGAGAATAGATGCCACGAGAGAAAAACACGCCCATCTTTGCTTCCTCAAAAAACCAAATTGTGCCTGCTGGGAACAAGAGATTGACTCCTCGCTAGGACATCAAGTGCTGCCAGAAGCAATATCTTCCATTTGATTCCCATAACAGGAAAAGCATGTAATGGCAACTGTAACACAAGACAAGAGACTATGCCCAGGCCTGAGTGTTTCCACCCACCCCAGCTCTGAGGTGAACAGTCTGTATGTATAGCACCTTGAGGATCAGGCTCTCTCATCTCCAGAATCTTCATACCCATTAAGTCAAGTGTTTAAGATGCAAATTATTTGGATCATGAAACTCTTTTTGTTTCCACACTCATTGCCAAATATTTGTGCACTTTCTGAACATTGTTGTACAAATTATAAATATATCTAAAAATGTTCAGCCACGGCTTCTTGCTGAGACTCTTCCACATGAGAGAGCTTGTGACCATCCCCTCAGCCACTTTCTCAAGAAAGGGACAGCTTGGAAGGGAGACTTGCAGCTGGGAGGGTAGACTCTGGCGTCAAACAAGGCAAAGTCACTTCAACTGCTTCACCAGCTTCATTCCTTCCCCACGCCATGGCTCTGCCTTCCTCACCAAGGGGACAGAAATCTGGAAGGATATTTTAAGCGCCCCTGAGGACTGTGTATATGTGGACACTATGGAGTATATGAGCATACGCGAGGACTGACTAATCAAAGCTAATATTCAAGGGGGTCTAGGAGAAAGAGAGTTGTAACGTGGTCAGGATCAGGAT